GGGTTTTACATTGGTGAGCGTCCACATCTACCCAGAGCCTTTATTCATAGATATAGAGTCCCGATACCAGTCCCCTTTCTGCTAACCTACAAATCTCTCTGTGTTTTGTTTTATAGGTGCAGTGCCACGAGGAAATCCCTGGTCCTTGTGTGGGCCCCCTTTTTCAGCCCTCCGTCTGTGTATGTATCATTCCTACACAGCGGCGGGCAGAGCAAGGTCGGTCTCTACTCATCGCTGTGAAGAGAAAGTGCTTGAAGTCCAACAGCTTCAAAGTGAAGTGTCTTGTTCTTCCCAAGGCTGGTCTTTAAAGGCCTGATCCGTAGGTGTGGCTTGTTTCTGCACGTTTGTCCGCTGCATGTTTGTCCGCTGTTAAGTGACCAGCCGCTAGGGTTCCTGCCACCAGAAGTGACCTCCCTTATTGATGGTGGGACAGCTGAGGTGGATGTGCCAATGGTGTGGTTTTGGCTGTGGGGTGGGTTTCTCAGTGGGATGCCGTAACTGACTGTGGCAGTGTGTGACAAGGTATGACAGTCACCCATGGAACCTTATTTTCAGAATTCCCTGGAGATTTGCATTGTGAAATAGAGAAATATAGCATAGAGAAGAAACTACTGTTTATAGCAAACCCAGCACTGGGTCACGGGGTTAGCAGTAAAGATATTAAGACAGTTTCAGATGAATTTGGGGGAAAAAATATAATTTGCTAGCAATGTCAGTTTAGTGTAAAGTTATTTGACAATAGCGATTCACTCAATTTCAGTTAACTGCATGCAAGGCATCGCACCATTATATTTGGAGCTAATGATTATAACATGTCATTTTCTCATTCACTGCTTTTTAGTTTGTGTATACAAATATCTAACCAGATTTCAATAAGATCAACAGTTCTCTTCTGTACTGGGCAGGAAGTGCCATTGCATCTTGACTCTTGGCTACATCCATTCAGATGGTTAAGGTGGTGAGTAATCTATCCCAGACAGTTTAGTTTTATAAGATGGGGCTGATGCAAGCTATGCAATATTTCCTTCCATCCATTCACTTCTTTGAAAATCTGCATAGACTTTGAGAAGCAAACAGAAGCTCATATCATTGACTTTCATTTCCTGAATTATCCAGTCGCATCGCCAAATGTATAGTGAAAAGTAGATTGTCAATACTGCATGTGTGGTCAATATTGACACTGTGCGTACCAAGAAATCATGTCCTGGCCTATGGTGAGCAGGTATCTATCCTTTTTATCTGGGTCTGTTGGCTATATTTTCTGATAGTACTAAGGTTGCCTTTTTTTGTGGGTTTTTTTTTTAGGGTTTCTTTTTTCCATTGCTCTTTTTGTATTAATGGGCCATGCTCAGAACTCTTTGCAGTTTGCATTTTCATGAGCGCCATCGTTCATAGTTGCATAAAAGGGCAATGATTGTATGGCACTGTCAATATTGACTTTTTGGTGCTTCTGAGGAATCTTCTTTAATCCTTCAGTGAACAAACTCTCATACTGTTTGAAGGAAGTCACTGGCTCTGCAATGCATTTTGCTACCACCAACTTCAGCACTAGCATTGGAATCTCTTGTTGGTGCTAATCAAATGTGTTTTAACCTGATCCCTCCAGAAGGGTAATGTTGGCAAATAGAATCTCAGCACTAAAATTAGTTCTGGACGGAATCTGTTTTTCTGGTTCACTTTCCCGATTTTCAGCATCTTTTTTCTGCATTGTCCTTGGTTTTTGCAAACATTTGGTCAAATTTTTAAAGTGCGGAGCCTTTCGTGATGGTTTTTTCATCATCAGTTATCCCTCATGAGGTCCCCAGGGAAACAACTTCATTTTCCAAAGAAGTAGCATTTTTTTTTTTAATTCAATGGACTGTGAAAAAAATTAAAAGATTTTCATGGTAAGCATCTTTTTTTGTTTGAGCACACAAAGAAGAGATTTAACTAGTTTAACTTGGAAAGAAGAGATTTAACTAGTTCCAAATCAGTGGCATTTTGCAACAGGGCAAATAAACATCAAAAATTCTTTCAGATTCTTTGCTGGGGGGGTTTTCTGATGCCTGTGCACTTATGATTTTCATCACGTGTGCTGCACATATGTGCACAACTGTGCAAACCAGGTCTTGTTTACCTTCACAAACCAAAAGGTATTGCGCCATTGTCATTTGATTAAAGCCAAATATTGCTGCATAAATTATTGGCCAGCTGAGGTCAGTTTCTACTTTTTGAGGTACTCGCTGAACCCTGCATACATACCGAGAATCACGACAGCCAATGTATGATGGGGTGCGCTAGACAGAGTTAAGCGGAAGGTGGTGCTTATTGGTAAATCTATGTGAATGCACAGAGCATAGTACATGATTCTATGGCCAATGCCCTTGGGCTTCCTGACAACAGACCCTTTTGTAACAAGGAATAGGTAGCACTGTTTAGCAGCTTCCATCTCCTTCAGGATGTGTTTGAACTGCAGAATACACATGAATAACAAGGATTTAATCCTATGTACTGCGCTGATGCATAAGATAGTGCTGCATTGCCTATCTTGTTATTGAATTTAAAGGCAATCCAATATGTCATTTGTGCTGGGTCGGGTCTGAGGATTTTTTCACTTGCTATTTTTTTCGAGCACTTTCACTGAGGTTGCACAGTTTCTATTTCCAGATGATAGTTGGTTGACATCTGCACGTGCATATTGTTTTGCATGTAAGTGTGCCAGTCTGCTTTCTGCGAGCTGTGCTTTTACCTTCTCTCTCTCTCATCCTTTTTTAATGCCTAATGTTTTTAGTACTTATGGGTCTAATATGCCAGACTGGTTATCTTTCTGGATGCCTTTCGGTAACTCGGGGTCCCGTCCACTCACTGTATATTTTTAATGCCAGGACCTTTTTCTACGTGTCTCTGGTGCAGGACAGCGGATGCAGATCTTCTATCCCTATCCCTTCTTTAAGATCAAATTAAACAAGAGGAACGGAACTTCAGATTCTTCATTAAATCCAAAAAAACCAACTTTAGCCGAAGTGTTGGAGACCGCATATTGCATACTATTAATATGCAGGATACTAAACATTTCTGGTCGATTATAAACACTCTTGCATTTCCGGGAACGACAAAATCTCCAGACACTTTCATCCCTGAGTTGATTTGGGTTAAATATATCCAAAAGATATATGAGGAAACAGGTGATTTCGAAAGTGTGCAGATAGATTTAACGGTAAATCGCAGAAGTGTTTCATTATCACAGATAGGAAGAATCATACTAACTATGAACCCTTCTAGGGCCTGCGGCCCAGAAGGTTTTCCACCATTCTGTTTGCGGTTAAATCCGGCAGAATGGGCTAATATCCTGTTTCCTATAATTAATGTGATTGATCTTCCTTGGAAATTACCAGAAAGTTGGACGGGGTCCTTGTTGATCCCAATACACAAGAAAGGACCAAAAACCCAAGCAACTATAGACTCCTGGCAATGTTAGATCCAGGAGGTAAAGTACTGGCCCGCACATTATTAAATGAATTAGAGCAACATATTACAGATCTGAAGTTATTAAACATCACTCAAGCTGGTTTTCGTCCTGAAAGCTCAACCTTAGACCACTGTAGCACTCTTGCTTTTGCAATAGACAAATATATTAATAACAGGAAAGGAATTTTATATTCCTGCTTTGTCGACTACACCAAGGCATTTGACCTTATTCCAAGGAACATCTTATGGAATAAATTGCTCAAAATGGGGATTCCACACCCCTTGGTGGCCATGATAATACGATTATATTCTAATACATGGGCAAAACTCCGTTGGGGAAGCAACGGTGAATTGACACGTAAAATCACCACAACCAGAGGCCTGAAGCAAGGCTGTGTCTTGGCCCCATCCTTATTTAATCTATTCATGGCTGATTTAGAACCAACCCTGGCAAAAGCAGAGGGACTGGCCCCCAGCATCGCCGGAACAAGCTTTAATTCATTAAGCTACGCGGACGACGCGGTAATACTAGATCTCACCGTCTCCAGCCTTGCAAATAAGTTAAAAGTGTTGGAACACTACTCACTACAAAATGGCATGGAGATTAATTTAAATAAAACCAAAATCATATGCTTCTCTAATAAACGGGTCATTCCAACTATTACCTGGTCACTTTCCACCGGTTCAATAGAGATAGTAGATAACTACACATACCTCGGCCTTTCATTTAATGCTCGAGGGAAATGGTCACAACAATTAAGTAATGTAAAAATAAAACATAATCTAATCTCTAACGCTTTGGTGAAGCTATATGCGACAGGCTATGTGAAAAAGGTTAGCACGCTTAAGTGTTTGTATAATAACAAATATAAGAACTGTATATTATACGGAACTGAAGTATGGGCGGGCTCTCACGGAGAAGAACTTAGCATTTTTATTTTTTTTTTAACCACTTTATTTCAGTTGGAAAACAGGTTAATGCCGATACTAAATAGACCATTCCAGAGATATTCAACCACTTGCATACTCTTCCGCATTTCAAATAAGGTAGCATTATTCACCTGGACCAGGAATATTTACAAACTCACTGTACGTCTCAGAGAAGGAGAGCAGAACAATGCAAGTCTTATATACAGTGTATATTACACAGTCTTTCTTCCTTCACATCTGAAGTTGCTACATTGGGATCAGCCAAGAGAAGCCGAAACAGTCTCTTCCCAAACTCTCGCAGGTGGGAGACGGCAGCAGACGGGATAATCACAGTATGGGTGCATATTTCTGGCGTGAAAAGCAAAACAGCCGAAAAGAAGACAAACAGAAGAAGGTCACTGGAGTACGCTTTCGTGGGACTGGTGGACTGCTCCCTCTCCCATCACATCCCACTGTGACCGGGGCTTTAAAAAAACGCGCCCCTGACAACATAAGGAAAAGAAGAAGACCACAAAGCAGGATGTGTGAATGTAATTTGTGCGCTGTTGCATCACCGATGCTCTGGCGGAGCAGAAGCTGAAGACAAGACACGCTTCGAAAAGCCGCAATGATGTGAAGCGGGGTCAGTGCTGCTGCTGCTGCTGCCGCCGCCCGCAGTTGGCGTCCATCCACCGCAGCAGCTCCAGCCGCTTGTAGAGCCGGGCCAGCCCGTAGGCCGTGAGCCCCCGCTTGTTCAGGTGGTCCACCTTGCTGCCGGTGTGGCCCAGGAGGTAGGCCACAACGGCCACATGGCCCTCCATGGCTGCCAGGTGCAAGGGCAGGTTCCCTTCGCCGTCCTCTAGGTTCACGTCGGCCTCGAAATCCACGAGCGTCTGCACCGTGTCCACAAAGCCGGCCCTGGCCGCGTCGTGCAGCGCTGCGAAGCCCGTGGGGTCCTTGAGGTTCGGGTCGGCGCCGTTCTCCAGCAGGATCCGGGCAATTTCGGGAGCTCCCAGCTTCATCACCTGCAGCGCGGTCCTGCCGAAGCGGTTGGTGCTGTTGACGGGCTCCCGGCCCTCCTTTTGCAGCAGACGGCGGAGCTGCTCCGAGTCTCCGCGGGCGGCGGCGCTGCTCAGCTGATCGGCCATGTCCGGTGCCCGACGGGCTCTAGAACTTAGCATATTAGGAGGCCGATTTTGGAAGAGTATGTTAGCCTTACCATCGACAACAATAACTGCTCCTATCATGCTGGATTTAGATATCTACAATTTGGAGGACGAGGTAGCCTGAAAATCTTATCTATACGCTTATAAAATATGGCGTAGAAACCCAACTTCAAGTTTAATCGCCCTGTGTTTCCGGGAGGCATTTAAATTCCCGGAAATATATACACAAGTAAAAATAGTATTTGAGATCGCAGCGAATTACAGATTACCTTTTTTCTGGGCAGAATCTAATACATCAAGTATTATCACAAAAACGGATATTACGGATAGGATCTCTACCTCAGCTTGTGCGCGATTTCATTCATACATTCAAAATAAATCAAGTATGACATTGTTTAAACTTATAAAAACCCATAAAGAATCATATGCGATATTTGATTTGGAACTGCCACGTCAGGTGCTGAGAATACTGCTAAAACTAAGATATGGGATCCTCCCCACTAATTCCTATCTTATGGCTCGTACTAACACCCCTAAAGAACATAGATTCTGCGATAATTGTCCTACTGAGCTGGACGATACTCCTCACCTTTTTGTATGTTCTCCATTACAAGATCAGAGTATAAAATGGCTATCTAAATACAGGGAAGGGGATGATATTGATTTAATGAGGCTTCTAAAGGAACACGACAGTAATGAAATCATTCGAATTTATGTATATCTGAAACAAATTTGCATGTTTCGTCAAATATCTATATAATCAAGTTGAAATTATATGATGATATAAATGCTTGTAAACTGTTACTCACACATTCTGGCATGATTAAGGGATATCTTATGACGTTAATAAGGGAAGGAGAAGATTAATGGATTAGATTTTGACGATATTAATGATATTATGCTGTATCTCAACTTTGTCTTTGAAAACTTATTTTAAATTGGTCTGTGTTTTTACCAATCTTGTATGACTGAAATAAAGTCTAATAAAGATTGAAAAAAAAAAAAATGCCAGGACCTTTTCTATGTGTCTCTGGTGCAGGACAGCGGATGCAGATCTTCTATCCCTATCCCTTCTTTAAGATCTTGTTAGGATAATTTTCTGCAGACTGGTTTTGCAGAAAAAGCTCTTTTTTACGCCTTTTTTTCTGTTTTTGCTTTCTTTTTGCACAGACCAAGGTGATATTGCCCGTATATCCGCAATACTTTTTGTAGCGTACACACTGAGGGTGAAACCAGTCTTTGCAATCATGACACTGTGCCATGGGGAATTTTGGATCATTTTGCTGCTTACACACACAATAGTTTCTCACCATCAGCTTTAATTTGTTGTGAGGGCAGTCTGTTTGGTATGTGTGGACTTTTCATTTTTTTTTTCGCCAGCTAGGGGCCAAATGGACCCCTAGGCTGGGCGTATGTGTGTGTGTTAGATAGGGGTTAGGGTGCTCCCTGGGTGCCCCTAGTCGCTGCTGGGGTCGCGTGCGACCCCTGGTACAGCATGGTAAGGTGGGGAGGGTCCTCAGGAGGGTCCTACGATGTCCCTAGGTGCCTGTAACTCCCTGCCCTAGGCTCAGCTAGTGAGTCTGGGGGTCCCCCCTCCTGCACCCCCATCCCTGCGCATCCCTTCCTGGCTAGGCTTAGTTAGGGCGTGTGTGCACGAGCCGTTCACAAGTGCAACGTGAAGCGTGCTCGGGTGCTTGGTACAGTCGTTGGAACGTGTGTGAGGGGTTCTCATGTTAGACGTGTACACTGTAGACATTGCACGTAGGTTGCACTGGGTGAAGCTTGCTCTAGCACGCTTCAACAGTGCTCGCACGCTTAGCGTGATAGGGCCCTTCGCTTGCGTAGTCTTCCCCCCTCATTCTCGGGTCGGGCCAGCCGGCTTGGCTTGGAGATGTGGGCTGACACGGCAAGGTCGGGCCAGGAGTTGCGCAATCGGTTTCTCAGCGCGAGAACCCGAGTTGGCATCTCTGTAGGGAAACCTGCCGCCTCACAGAGCAACCGAATGGCCTTGCTCTGTGGTGCACCCCTTCCCCCCTCGCAGGAGTGGGCTGATTGGGGCCTGGCAGGGTGTCTGGTTTATCTCCTGGGAAGTCGTTTGTCTTTCCCAGCGGGATTGTTAGGAGGGTCTTTGATCACTGGCCTCCTTTTCTTCTTGGTGATATGGTCCAGTGGGGGATGCGGCCAACGCCTTCCCTTTTGTCCTCGCGGGCAAGGGAATGAAAGGCGCCATTGTGGCTCAATGGCACCTGGTGTGAATTCTTTCACTCCCAGGTTCATTTTGCCGGGCGGCAGCAGACTCCTTGGCTGGCTGGACTCTACCACCGGGCAGGGCAGAACGCCCCCCCCCCGTTTAGAAGATGGTTGTTGTACTCCAGTCTGGTTTTTCCCGCCACAACTGGAGGGGTATTTAGCAGGGTGCCTAGCCACTCTCTCTCTCTCTCTCTCTCTCTCTCTGATGCACTCCTGGGTGGCACGAGTCAGTGCGCACCGCAGGAGGAATTACAGAACGAAGACAGGCCTGAGGGAGCGCCTGGTCTTCTGCGTGTGAGCCGCGTTTAGCTCTCCCTGGTCAGCAGCAACGCACCGGTGTACGGCTTGCCTCATCCTCAACGGAGTTTCTGGAGTGGTGAGTCCTGGTGGCCTCTTGTCTGTGGTACTGGCCTTGTATAAGAACTGTTCATTCTGCCTTAAAGATTGCTATTTGTAACTGAACCACTAGAGAACTAGAACAACTAGATGCATTACTATCTACCTGCTGTAACTGAAAGGACTCACCGCGTGGTGAGGGACAACCAAGAGTAACCGTTTCTGTAACCTAATGTGCCTACTTATTTTGGAATAAATAAACGTGTCTTGTTTTGAAAGATCCCGCATCGATCGCTTTCTGTTTTGGTGGCATTTCTGGTGTTTGCATGTTAAGGGCGAGCGATCCTGGGTATTTGACACCCCTAGTTCTCTCTGGGAATCCCTGCACGAGGCAGGCTGAGAGTGTTCGACTAGGGGGTGTGTTAGTGCGAAACGGACCTGTTGCTACCGCGGCCCCTCTTTCGTCACATTTGTGTCCCCTTGATCTCAGATGGTACATGTTTTTAATGTTTCCCCATTGCTTTTGGCACTTGTTTGCCATTGTCTTTTGTTCTTCTACAAATCATCAGGCCATTTCCTCATTTGCAAATCTGGTACTTACGGAGGCCATATTACCCTACACAGAATTTTTGCTTCTGTAACCTTCTTGATTAAATGTAGATATATTTTGATGAAACAGTGAAATTATTCTATGTTCTGCATCTTTCTTATTGTTAAAATGCCTCTAGGTCACTTTGAAAACCTGTGTTAAATAAAATCGTAAGGGCCATAGTTATATGCAGTTGCATCAGATAAAAGCAGAATAAAACATTGGCTGAGAGCAGATGATAAATCATAAAACAAATAAAATGCAACACTATGGTTGGAAAACTGGTGGGTTCTGTCAGCTGCTTATGTTCAGATTTTGAAGTGCGTGCTGAGGGTGAAGGAGAGTAAGTAAAGGCGGGAGAGTTTGCACAGAGGAGCTGCGGCTAAGAGCAGGCACATTTGGTTAAGAAGCTGGTGTAGCTGCAATGCAGGAGAAACAGCAGGGAGTTAAAGCATGGCGTGGTGGAAGAGGACAATTGGAGATGAGCACATCGAGGGGAGCGATGAACAGTTATGAGAACAAGTCATTGATGCCCAAGTCTGTGTCTCACCCGACTGTCAGTCCTTAGCTCATTCAAGAGCAAGCGATTCCACAACAATGAGAAGATGCCTGTGGTGGAAAAGTGCTTTTAGAATGCCTCTTTGAAGTGAAGGGACAGGGAAATATTAAGTAAGAGTGAGAATGTTTGGAAGGGAGGGGAAAAAGGGGATGGAGTACCTTGGTTGGGTAACACAAAACTGCAACATCTGCCTATGCAGCACGCGATGCAGCTGACGTGTTCATCAAGAGCAGTCTGTCTTGTACTTGCAAGAACTGACAAGATTGACAGCTAATGTGCAATAGAACTCAGCTCTGCAGCTGCACGGATGAGAACTTGGTTGCTCAATTCCCCTTTAAATTTCAACCACAATGGTATATGTTTGAAAGCACACAATATTTGGAAAAAATATTTGGCCAAACTGAAGCAAATGCAGTTACCTATTATATGCTGTAACAGTGTCCCTTTTAACTGTTAAGTAGACATTCTCACATGAATGGTGTGTTATTGGCTAGAGATTTGTCCACCTAACCTTCTGTTGCAAAGATCAAAAACAGTCAGTGTCCTGTTGCAGGATGGTGCATGTGCAGAGAACACATTCAAAGTACAATTAAAAAGCAAAGTAAATTTTACTCTGCAAAGTAAATTACATGCAGAACAGATGAGACATCCCTGACTTGAATGGTGAGCAGACGAGCGAAGCTCTTTTTTATCGGTCTCCTCGCCCTTAACTGACCCCAGCTTGCACATTTAGTGAATACATTTCAAAACGTCCAAAAACTAAATTATGCAGCAGGAGCTTTGGCAGAGGTAGTGGAGAGTCCAATCACCCTTGCCTTAGACCCCTCTTTGAAATGTGTGAGCCTGGACTGACACATGGCAGCTGCTTCTTTGAGTTCAACCTCTAGGTTGACACCCTTTCAAATGTGACCTCAACTACCTTGAGCGGCTTGATGAGGCCACACTCAAATGCCAAATCCATATATTCCCGTAGTTTGCACCGCACCAGAGACACTTTGTCAGCAGAAAAAGCACTCGCGTCATTACCAATGCCATCACTGTGTTGCAACAAATGCCATGTGGCCTTCAATGTGCTCTTAAGCCCATTTCTCTTCACCCCCTTCTCAACAGCCTGGAACATTTAAAGAGCTGGCCTTTGCTGAAACTATGCCGCATACTCCTCGTATGGTGGTACTGAGAAATTGGGAAGAGTGCTTGGAAGAGGAGCTCTCTAGGGTTTGTGCTTTCAGCACCTGATCTTGCACTTGG